CTCTGTCTCAAAAAAAAAAAAAAAAAAAAGACAGCTTGATCCTCATATCTACTGCTGCATTTATTCTCTTGGGATAGGTTGTTTGGGTTGAAACCTTAGAAGAAAATTCAGCCTCAAGCACAAATGTAGTTGGACAAGCGAAGAATATTTTTTAAGAATTGTTTTATATAATCAAGGCTATTCTTCAACACTACACCAAACCCTGACAAGTGCTTGTTTCATAAAAGTTGGTTGCAATGTGGAAATTGAAATTATTGCAGATGAACTTTAGTACTCTGTTAAAATCTATTGGACTAGCTGGCACTTTAAATATATATTTTTGTTATATTCTGGATAGGCTATTTGGCAACATTGGCTTGTTGAATTATACAGATCTTCCAAATACTGTCACATTTTATCATACAATATGACCTGTTCACATCACTATTAGTCTCATCTGGAGAGCATTTAAGTATTGGGAAGCTGTCATGTTCACAGTGGTGAACAAATTTCCCAAAATTCTAATTTTCGCTTAGAATACTGTCAGTTGTTTTCCTGAAGGTGACTCACCTTCCTAATTTTCTAAATACTCCACAGTTTGTCAGTTCTTCCAAGCAAAAATAAGTTCCATGATAAAAGCAGTTCATTCAGCTCACAACTCAGGACAATTGCACAAGTGCTGTATGTGTACTTCCCAATTAGTCACACAGAATATTAAAAATCAGTTTCTGAAGGCTGAGATCAATACCATTAATAATTTTTACTGCTTTTATCAAGGAGGTTCTTTTTCTTTTTTTAAAAATGGAATGTTGCATGGCACCACTGCTTCAAATGATGCTAAGGAAGGTGCCAGTGGTTTTACCCACCATCTACACCACCAGTGCAAATGTTACATGGGAAAAAAGGAGACCAACATCTTGGTATTATGAAAATAGATTTGCCCTTGTAGACATCCTGAAAGACCCCAGATGATGAACCTCATTTTAAGAAGCTCTGGTGTACAAGATACTGGCTTTGAAAACCGAGTGGGATTTTGATCGGCTAAGATGAGTGAGGGGGTAAAATGTGAGGTGTATCTGAGGGACAGTAGGTAGGCAGTGTGGCTGGAGGAGGAGGAAAGCAGAGGCAGATGAAACTGAAAAGGTACCGTGAAAGGTCGAGAATGCCTTCACTATGACCTAAACCAGACAGGAAGAGGCTGGACAGGGAGAGCATTTTTTTATTTAAAGGAAAGCTGTGGCTTCAACTTATATAAAATAAAGGTGGCCATGTTAACATTGACTAGTTATAAAATAGCAATGATAGTATTGCTTCTTTTCTCATAAGGAATGAATAAAACAAACATGGTCAAATGACCTGCTATAAGAAACATGCTCCACTATTACTTTAATTTGGATGGTACTTTCATTTTAGAAGGAAAAATAATGAGAACGTTAATAAACAATTATGAACCAAACAACTATGACAGTCGCTTTTCATATGTTCTATGATTTAATCCTTAAAACAAGCTTACAAAAGAGATAACACCATTCATAAAGATGCAGCAAACAAAGCCCCCAGAGCCAATTAACTTTCTAGGGGTCGCGACGCTGACTCTGATTCCGTAACACTTTGCTTTGTCACCATCTCAAGGCTGAGATGGATAGATAGATACAGTTACGAATCTCCTGTAATCTTTTAAAACTGGCACAAAATGGCCTTATGAACCCAAGGAAATAATGGTAAGAGGTAAAACCTTGAAAAATTTTACATATTTTGAATTTTCCTCTGCTTCAGGAACTATTTTACACCACACACTTGATAACTTGGAGCAGGATGTTAGCTGATAAGGAGATTGTGCTAAAACATTAACACCTGAGAAATATCAGTTATTTTAAATTTACTACTAAGCTTCATCACACTACTTACTGGATATAATTTTCTTCATGTTTTAAAATATTAGGTCAGGGCTCAGCGCCTATAGCTCAACCGGCTAAGGCGCCAGCCACGTACACCTAAGGTGGCAGGTTCGAATCCCCAGCCTGGACCCGCCAAACAACAATGACGGCTGCAACCAAAAAATAGCCGGGCGTTGTGGCGGGCGCCTGTGGTCCCAGCTACTTGGGAGGCGGAGGCCAGAGACTCGCTTGAGCCCAGGAGTTGGAGGTTGCTGTGAGCTGTAATGCCACGGCATTCTACCCAGGGGGACAGCTTGAGGCTCTGTCTCAAAAAAAAAAAAAAAAAAAATTAGGTCAGTAAGAAAAGGAGAGAAAGAAATTCAAATGCATAGTCTGATGTCATCATCTTTGGCCCCCCCAAAAGGTGCTGAGTTTACTGACATCAACAACCAAGGTCTAGATATTTAGCACCATATCAACATGGTGTGTTCTTCCTGAACTGAAACCTGCTTCTTTGAATACCTACATTCTTTTACACAGGCACACACACACACACACACACTCAAATTTATGGTATGCTTCTTCCCAATGTAAATAGATTCTTTGTTCAACTGGATGGCTGCAAACTTTCTGTTGACTCTTTTTTTTTTTTGAAGTTTCACTTTGTTTCCCTGGGTAGAGTGCCATGGCATCACAGTGAACAGCAACCTTAACTCTTGGGCTCAAGCAATCCTCTTGCCTCAGCCTCCTGTGTAGCTGGGACTAGGCACATGCCACAACAGAGTCTCACTCTTGCTCAGGCTGGTCTCAAACTCCTGAGCTCAAGCAATTTGCCCATCTTGGTCTCCCAGAGTGCTAGGATTATAAGAGTGAGTTTTGTTGACAATTTAAAAGAAATTATTAAATTATTTCAAATTAATGCCCCTATAAATATTTTATTATAAAATAAAATAAGTAAATAGAGAGTAAAGCTATTTATTATTTACTCATTTCTAGACAGGATAAGGCGCTGAGAGTATAATACAGTTTAAATAAAGTAGCTACCTAGTTTGACAATAAATACTTGCTAAAGGGAGAAAGTTATTATAAATATTGAGAATAGACAAAACATTTTCAAAGTTTTATAGACTTTGCATTTTAAAATTATAGTTGATTAGAAACTATGCTTTTCTTCTATATTGATACTAAAATAGTTGCATTTTGGCTTACATTATAACAGGTAATAATTTATCCATTTGAATATAAACATATAGTCTTTCTACCTTTTGGATTAAAACAGTACAATATTAAAAAGCTTATAAACTAAGTTGCCAACAAAAATAGGAACTCACCTATACATTTTTGACACTGGGGACCTGTATACAGAGGGTGCCCCAAAATGCATACATATTTTAAAAAAGGAAAAAACTGTATTAAATTATAACATGTTGAGTATATAGAAAACGAAAGATGAATATGTCACATTGAGCACCTCTAGTAATTGCAGAAGTCAAATGTGACTTGAGTATTATAATTTCAATATAGTTTTTTCCTTTCTTAAAAATGTGTATACTTTTTTTTTTTTTGCGGTTTTTGGCCGGGGCTGGGTTTGAACCTCCACCTCCAGGATATGGGGCCAGTGCCCTACTCCTTTGAGCCACAGGCACCACCCAAAATGTGGATACATTTTTTTTGGCACTTTAGGTATTATGTTATGGAATACCAAACATGGGCAATGTATTCAAGTTTTAGGATCGTTATAATGAAGTAAAAAAAAAGAGAAAAAAATCAAACAATATAATTTTGTCCCTCCAAAGTAGAGGCACTTAATGATATTTGCTCACTGGAATAAAAGGAAACTTTCACCCTTACAATTAATGTGCCAAATTCTACTATGTTCTAAACGTGTGGATATTATTGCTCTGTTATTTTTTGAAATAGTTGACTTCAATTCAAATTCCTCTATATTTCTGACACAATTACATAAAGATATAACATTAGGGAGTAAAAGCTTTCATTGAAAGATAAAATCTGTAAGCATATCCTCAATAGATAAGTGTGAGCCACTATGAGATCTGTTCTGCTGCAATGCTATAGTAAGTTTGTAAGAATGCAAATACACCATGGTTAGGAAAAGGATTTTAATGATCATGTCTTCCTTGCTTTAGTAGGATGGCTGGAATGAAGTTAGCCTATGACCAAGCAGATCATAACTCTGTTTCAATTATTCCCTCTTAGTGTGCTTTGTGTCACACATTTAAACTAGACAGTAGATATAGTGGCAAAGAGTTTCTTGCAGACTGGAGAGTCCCCAGAATCTCTCAATGGGCACTGGAATTTTGAGGTAACTGATTTCCCAAATGTGCTGCTGTTGTCTGGTTCCTCAAGTCTCAGTGATGTCAAGAAGGAATCCATCAGGTCCTACTGATTCAGTTATGCTTTATTTCTCTTTTTATGTACTCATCTAATAAACGATATGCCAACTTGATCCTACCAGGAAAATCCACAGGCTACCTGAAGAATTATCTTACTTGTTGTTCACTTGACGGCACTTTAGGCATTAAAGGCTAGGAAGTACTCAGACAATCCAACAATGACTTGTCTGATTATGATTTTTGTGATTTTAGGTACATCACAACTTTTTTAATATATAAATGAATATTTATTAAAGTAGCAAACTAAACTTTTGGTATCTAAAGGAACAAAAGGAGGAGGAATAATCTAAAACTGATAACATACACTCATTGTTGTGCATAACATTGCTTTGAGTTGGTGAGGTATGATCAGATATAAGGCAGTGCTTTACAACATACTTGTACTCCTGAAAACTCTTAAGTTACCAATGATCACTGATGTCTGTCATGTCCAAAGTACGATCTCTGGCAATAACAGATTAGACTGGAGGAGGTGTTGTAAACATTCCTAAATGACTTCTCTGCCCTGGTTGGCTTTATCCACTTTCACTACTACAAATAAGGAATGTTTGGTAAATGTATTAGTAGTCAATACTGCAATTGCTAAGAAAAGGCTATATATTTGTGTAAGACTCTATAATTAAACTTCCTTTTAACAGGATATAGACTTAGCAAAGAGTGTGGATATTTATCACCTTACTTACTAAGTGAAATGTCTAATATCAAAAAGGAATAATTCCAAAATATTATAACACATTATCTTCCCAAGTCCATTTGGTCTTCAAAAATTTGTGTGGTTATATTAAATAAAATTCACAGTCTTTTCCCAGAGGGCATGATCTTGCTAGGTAAACAGTATTAACGGAGACCGTTCCCATGCATGCATCTGTCCAAATGTGAAATCCTTATGCTTAGTGTTTACCACAAACCCATCGAAGCTGATGATCTGTCTGAAGGTCAGTCAGTTCTTCAATAGTTCTCCAGCTACACTGGCAGGCATATGCCCGGCTTCCTTTCTTCTTTATCAACTTTGCTTTTAATTTGTGGAATTCTGGCATGTTGTTCCTATTAGTAAAACAGGCAGGTTTTAGTACAGTGGCTTTGTTCAGTGCTCAGTGATTCTCCCCTGAAAAATCTAACTCCTTTCTTATCTTTACAATATTGGAACTCCAAACCTTTCTCCTCTCATACTACAAAAAGAAGATAGGCTTCTGCGTTCTCTTTCTGATGGTATTTCTTTGATATGCAGTTCTTTTCATAGTACTGCTACAGGCTTATTTATGAAGACTGTCACAGAACACAATGACTTAAAGGGCTGAAGAGTTATTGATCTGTCCTATCAGAAATGACATAATATGACGACAGGGTGGAAAGAATGGTGGTTCTTCTCCTACCTCAGTTATGGCAAGTGGGGAGAATGTAAGAGGCATAAAGATAATAGGCTTCTGATGAATTAACTAATTTCATTGATAGAGAAAAAGTACATGTACTTCTATATGTTGAACTCCAACTGTATCTTTCATTTGTTTCAGGGATCTGCTTATTTACTTATATTATCAGCAACAAAATAAATATTCTGAAATAATTTTTAATGTTAAAATAATTAAATCAATGAGCAGAACTACCATAAAAATAATAACTATTAGATTTAATGCTATTAAAAAAACGATTACAGAAGTTTAATAAAAAATCAATTATGATTTTCATGATAAGCTGTATACTGCGTTCATATAAGCATCTAGTGGCAAAAACCCCAAAAAATTTAAAATAAAATGATAAAAAATACAAAGGGAAATGATGAAATTTCAATTCTAAAAAAAGAGATACAGTGCCAACCACTTAACAGGTATCACTGCAAAGAAGGCAGGCTCTAGAGTGCCCCCTAGTGCTCAAAGGGCACCACAGTCAATAGAGTATGGTATAAAAAGTCAGGCACAATGAAGGTTAGTACCTAACAAAACCCAATAGATTTTCCAGGCCAAACTGTCTGATTTCAGGAAACTAAGTCTCTAACTACCTAAATGATTTAGCTTGGGAAAGAACTGAATAAATTTTAGCAGAAAGAAAAAAATTACCAAAACTAAGTATTTGAAGAAAAATGTCCTTGATTCATTTTGCAATATATTTAAAAAACTTAACATTTCATAATGAACTAAATCCTTAATTTAGATTTCAGGAATAGCAATTATGAACAGCCAGGGATATAATGATTATATTTCAAATGCTTTTTAAGAATCTTAAGATTCTTTTTTGTTTTTTTTTAAGACAGAACCTCAAGCTGTCACCCTGGGTAAAGTGCAGTGACATCACACTCACAGCAACCTCCAACTCCTGGGCTTAAGCAATTCTCTTGCCTCAGCCTCCCAAGTAGCTGGGGCTACAGGCACCTGGCACAACACCCAGCTATTTTTTGGTGTAGTTGTCATTGTTGTTTGGGAGGCCTGGGCTGGATTCGAACTTGCCAGTTCTACCAAGGGTGACATAGTGAGACTCTGTCTCTTAAAAAAAAAATCCTTCACTGGTTATTTACTGCCTGTAAGGAAGAATTAAATCCAAATTCCTCAGTATTGCTTCCCTGTGTCCTTTTGATCTCTCTGTACTACTTCACGTCTTGCTATCTCTTGCACTTGCATCCAACACTTTACACAATTCAAACTACCTATCACTCCCCAAACATGCCATGTAGTTTTGTCCCTGTCTCTTTAAAAATACCTCCTACAAGAATACCAGTGGCAATCTATTTGCTAGGCAAACTCCCGATTATTCAAAAGACTCTGACAGGCCTTCCCTGCTACCTCCAGGAGGTGTGCATCCACCTTGCCCTGTGGAGCCCCTCTTTCTTTTAAGCCCCTCTTTCTTTTAACCTACCTCCACTATCACATTTACCACACAATGTTAACCCATGATGTCCCTCCCTTTTAAAACTGGGCCTTATCATCTCTAGGAGTTCCATAGACTAGGTACTGCTGGATAATAAGCCATACAAAACAAATATCATATCAGTGGTCTACATCCTGATGGTGAAGACAGTCTTATTCTTTAGTTCTATTCTCTTATCTCCCAAAGATATTCCTAAGCATCTTGAGGACTGAGATGCTATTTTCTACTATTTAAATGACTACTTGTTTACATTTAACAGTGTAATAAATCTTCTAGATGTCCCTGTTTAAATAAAAGTACATATTTTTTTAAAATCAGGCTACTAGGCTCGGCGCCTGTGGCTCAAGCGGCTAAGGCGCCAGCCACATACACCTAAGGTGGCGGGTTC